TATATGGGACGTTAATTTACTTTAGACAAATATCTACATTAGATTCTCTCCCAGTGTCTATTCTACAAGACTTCAACACAACTCTTATCAAGAACACGCAATTAGCCTGACTAGAACGTCAATATATATTTCCACACCAAAATCCGACACAAAGCAACAACAAGAACAGTAAATCAACAGTCATATTCTGACCATTCTTTTTTTAACCGCGTGTTGTTGCTACACTCCCATTTTTCAAGCACACAAATCATTGCATCTAGCTGGACCTGTAATCCATATAATAAATTTTCTAGATCCCATCAATGTATTAAGCGCTCATTTATTCACATAGTAATAAAGACTATTCATCGGTGGATTTTCGTTATCAAGTGTTAGTTGGCCATTGTAGATAGAGAAAATACTTTCTTTCCAATCATTGTTACTTCTCGTGTCGACAAAGTATTGAGAAAATAAATGATACAACCTTACAGTGGTACATTTTATGATTTCTCTACTGTATTTCTTATAATCTATGTCAAATTCTCACTGAAATAACTTTATCTCAAATAAGTAATCTAACTTATTCTTTTAAGAGTCTATTGAAAATTTGATCGATAGTTTCTTGAATTTCTATAAATCTATTTATTTTCAGTACAATTTAATGAAAATCTTAAATTTGATCTTGTTAAACAACGGTAAATAATTACTCAAATACTACTTAATGTTCTTGATTTCACTTCTTGAAGAACAATATATATCGTTACAAAGATTTTTTTATTCTTTTTAGTTTGAATGTATACAAGGTTAATTTTATTTTACAGTTCAGAATTATTGAAAATTCACGCTTAAAACAACAGTTGTTCAATAGATATTCGTGTTAAACTTGATCTACGACACATACTAAAGATCTCACAATATATTCAATCACAACAGAGTTAATTTGTTATTCAAATCAGAAATACAGTAAGACATAATAAAAGTAACATAATAATTTACATGTTATACTGTGGTGCGGTCTACTTATATCTATATAAGTAGTATATGGTGTGGGTCAGACATAGAATGTATTTTGGCAAAAGACCGATGAGGAAAGAACTGAAATGAAGCGCAATCGTTTGGAAAATGCATGAGCAATGGAATAAGAGAAGAAACAGTGAAGATTATAACAATTGGTTGTTAATTTGCAAATTGACTGTTCATTGTTTGATTATCGGAATTTACTGAGATAGTCTGTAACTTTTGCTTAAGTACATTCGATTGTCCCCAGTCATGTTTTGTTCACTACAATACTTTCAAGAGAAGTGGTGTAAATCCTCCATATTTTTATGCAAACATCATATCACATAATTAACTGAAGTTATAATTCTTAGATTGGCATGGATATCACGACAAAATTCATTTTGTATTTTTCGCATATCTGCTAGCTACCTATCTTTAGTTCATTTTTATTATATAATTTCTACTCTGTCTGTTCAATAGTGATATATATAAAATAAACGAAGTAATCTATGAGTTGTCGTATTACCTAGAAAGTTAGAAATGATCAGTCATATTTACAACTAGTGTGTTGCACACGGTTTGATGAAAATGATTATTTATGGTAAATCGGTTTCACCACAACTTATAAGTGGGAGTAACTAAATTCTAAACACTAATAAATCCATACTAATTGTTATCAAGAAATCTCACGAATTTTTCACCATAATGTTCCGAACATGTTAATCATTAAGCTTTGTTGTAGTAAGTTGTTATGTTTATAAATGTTTTGGTAAGTGACCTAATGAGGACACTGAATGATTGAAAAACTTTTAAAAATTAAGAGAGACTAACAAGTCAGGTTCCTATGGTGACAGTAACTATTGATATTTCTCAATTTATTGTTCAGACTGAAAACAAAAGTGACTAAAAATATTGCTAACTAGGTCTTATAGAAACTATTGAATTTTATAGATTCCATCAAGAACCCATCTTAGTTAAAGAACCACAGAAAATCAGGAAGCATATGAAAAGTTTACGGAAATAATTATTCGATACGATACAAGTTAGCTTGGACATCTCTCTTTCTCTCTCTCTCTCTGTACATATATATATATGCCGACTTCAAATCTAAATCTGTGTACACCTAAACATTTGCGCCTGTCAATGTGTTTGACAAAATATGCATAATTATTCGAGTAGTTATTGAAAATATTTATCATACAAAGTCTATCCAATTAATGTGTGAATTAAGTTGAACTTTGCAAAATTAAAATTTTTGAAACTCATCCCCATCGAAAGATGACTCACTTGTGGTAGTGCACTCAGCTATATTATTATTTTTATTGATCGAAGAATTCGTGAAAGTTTATGGATGTCGAACTTCTGAGCTTTTGTATGATTTCGCATTTCGTTAGCATTATGTGTACAGACAATTTTCACAGATTTAGTTCATCAGAAATAACAGAGATGATGTAACAGCAATTAAAAAACGCAAGGAACAACACTCATTCAATGTTCTGATGAAAAACAGTTGTTGACTATCGTCGTTGTTCTATTTTTGTCCCCAGGAAAGCATCAGCCAGTTAGTAATGACTTCAGCAAGACATCAAACAAACCTGATAATTGATTGTGATGAAAACTATACTGCGATGGTGAACTTTGTGATGATGTAATCATTTTACAACCGTTGAATACGTTCACACCTCACAGTTAGGATATTTCAACAAGCATGCTATGAGAGTTCCTAAAATTACTTTAGATAGACAACTAGTTCATTTCGGACTTGAGTTGCGTTAAAATATGCTTTTAAAATCACGGAAACATATATTAAAATACAGAGCGGTTGTAGCTCAACGGTTGAACAGCTATTATCTTAACTATCCCAAATATATATTTCTGTTTTTTAAAATGGCGATCTGTTATATATTTGTCAGCAGGCAGTTGTGAAGGTTACTGAATTTTATTAATATTACAAACCGATCTAAGTGAGACAACCATTGGAAGTATGGAAGCATTGAACAGTCGTTTCATTCAAGTATGGGACTCCTTGACAGTGTACATCCATGACTCCTCGTCCGGGAATCGAAACCTGGACCTTCAGTCTTGCGTCCGAATGCCTAATCTATAAACTACTTGGCCGGAATCCAATGATGTACGAGTCCCACTCTAGGATGAAACGGCCATCCAGTACTTCCAGCTTTTTAATGACCATCTAACTTATATCAGCTTGTGATTCGATGTAATATCTTTGTTAATAACCTGAGTTTGTAGGACAAAAAAAACCAGAACTAAGACAAAAATGTGTAGTTATTATTAGTGGACTAGAAAAATGAAGCTGCTATGGAGCATCAGGGCATTTATCAATAATGATTTCGAAACTAGACGAGGGGTAATTACAATGAAAGTAATTGTGTCATCTGTTAAGATAAACTGAAAAATGAAGTAATAGAAACAAGGTGATAGAATCAGAGAACAAAATGAAGATGGTATTCTGCTAAAACAGAAGCTTATAGCTATGGTAGATGTAAAGGTCCCTATATACAACAGTCATTAGGAAATATCCTCTCAATCATTATTTCTACACAATTTAGTTGATTTTATTTCGTCAAACTCATTTATCATTTTCAACTTACAATCTACTAGTTTATTTATTTACTATTGTTGGTTTTCATTTTGCTACTATCCACTTATTGTACTGATGTGAAATGTAGTTACTCGAACTGAATGACAACTGCACTATGTTTTACTTTAACTGACTGACTGGAGTCAACTATTATCTAACTTAGTTTGACAACTTAACTGTGTTTATTTCTAAACTGTTTTTAAGTGTTCATGGACAAATTTATCTACATGAGAGATGACTTATCCGATCATAATTTGTGCTATTGGATAGGAAAAAAGTGGCCAATCCTTTTAAACAAATACTAACAATTTAGAAATGAATATTTGGTTTGAAAATGAATTTAAATTATCATAGTATATCTGTGGTGTGGGTTGCTTATATTCACATAAGTAGTATATGAAGATGGTCAGGCAGAGAATTTATTTCACTAGAAAATCGATAAGGAAAGAATGGAAACAAAACGCAATTGGTATGAAAATGTATGAACAATAATAATCGAAGACTATGGACTGATATTTGCAGAAGGAATGGTCAAGATTGAGACAATTGATTATTAGTTTGCAAGTTAACCATTTACTGTATGGTTGTCAGATTTTAGCGAGATAGTCTGTAATTTACGTGCCAAATATATTCGATTGTCCCCACACGTCCTCTTGTTCACTGCATATCTATTACTTTAAAGAATTATTATGGCTTTTCAACTAAAAGCATCTAAAGAACACTTGCCATCAAATAATGAACAACATTGACATTGGGCAAACAAAAAGATGTTGTTTTGAGGCCATGTATCTATGTTAAATAAACTCAAAAAATGATTAGTCCTTATGTCAAACTGTGAACTCAGGGTTAAAATATCATTCACACTGGTTATATTTTCATTCACTGATCACTGAGTAGTATAAAAATTTCGGTTTTGAAATTCTAATTACTGATCAAAGTCTATAAACTACGTTACAGTAAATCCACTAGTCTAAATGATTTGACATCAAACGCACCATGTTTAGATGTAAGGTGGTCAATATGAATCCCTAGATCGAATTTCCGTGTAAGTTGGCACTTGTTAGCAAGGTATACTTGAAATCTCCAGAGGATTATTGCTCTACACCCCGCCGTTGTACACAATATGGAACGTCACAACTGAGCTATTCGAGCTGCTACTCATTTTCTATAGAACTGAGTAGTAACCGACGGCATGTATGTTATACATATGAAAGGACTATAAACCCATAAAATAGTGTATTAGAAAACTAATCTTCATTTAAAAACTTTTTTTGTTCGTTTGTCACTGATAATCACAGAATTAGCTGAAATGAAATAATAAGAAAGAACTTTGTCGCGTAAAAAATACTTCCAGTTTGTATAGTATAACTAATAAAGTGCACAAAATACCTTAGATATCTTTTCATTATCTTTTTATTATTTATTTATTTATTTTACAAGCGTAATTCATATTTAAAGTTGACCATAACGAATGAATCATTGAAGGATCATTGTAACCATGAATACTGATAAATTGTAATTGTTTAAGTGTTTGTTTATCTAAACTATGTTCTGTATAAATATTTTTTAAATGAATAGGACTAATACCAAATTTTAATAGTATAATTCCCAATAGGATATCATCATATGGCATATTTGTAACATGGTTAAATCCAACACGTAATAATTGAACAACAGGCATACTTAATATAATTGTTCCACTATTTATATATGGTGGATATATATTGAATGGATAATTTGATGATGATATATATTTAGACAAGAACGGAATACGTACTGGATAAGAGATACGTTCTACATGACCAGATGCATAAATTCTATACTGAGTAAGTGTAATACGACGTAATAATTGTATTAAATTTATTGGATGTAAAAAAGAATTATCATCTAGAAATAAGGTAAAAGATTTTTCAGTAATCATACAATATTTTACAATAAAATCAATACTACCAATCCATTTATTCAATAAATTAGAACCATTATCAATAAAGTCAAATTGTATAATATCATGATGAATTATATGCTCATAGTATAGCTTTTGTAATATCCCAATGTTACTCATACTATTATCATAATGAGTACTTTCATTTGGTATAGAATAATTTAATATATTATCATTATTATCGTCTTGTTTGCCTAAAATAAATAGAATACGAATAGATACACCAAAATTCTTATAACATTCTTGATTTCCCCATGTTTTACGAATAGCATCTCGTTGATTGAAATTATTTACATGTGATCGAATAATTAAGAGAATATCAATAGCTTGACATTTTGACGACTGAAATAATGAGGAATTATTATTGCTATCGTTATTATTACCATTGCACTTATAATGTTTAATAAGACATTGTTCTGTATAATTAGAAGATAGAGGAAAAATGATTTTCCATAAGGGTGGTAAACTTGAATGAATCTGTAATTTTTCTTTTTCATAAATTTGATACAAATTAATATTTGGTGGATAATGAAGTAAATCCTCTTGCATGTATAATGTAATCAATAACCAAATAGCTGACAGACAAGATATAATAAGCATAATGATACAGAGAAATTTGCATTTTCTTGAACGTAAACGACAATTTACATAACTGAATAAATACCTGATATAATTTAATCGCATATTGATTATTTAACGGATTATTGTAATTCAGTAACTGAGTATCTTCACTACTAAATAAGTAAAATGAAATAAAGGGACAAAATAAAAAAATATAATGAAGCTTAAATAGTAAAAAATACTTGAAACAAACACAAAATCTGAACACATTAAATTAAACCATTCTATAGTAAATGAAAGAAATGAAATTATTGTTCCCTTGGAAATAGGTCAGAGAATTTTGTGAGTTTCTCTATAAAGTTCACTTGTATTATCACTAAAGAACTTAATGAAGTCTGTTACTTCTCATGGAGGAGTATAGGCCGCTTACCAGCATTCTCCATCCTAGGCAATTTTTTCCAGTTTTTCCCATTTGCTATTCATTCTTTTCATGTCTACTTCTGATTCCAAAACCAATATATTCGTTGACCTTCCTCTTCTTCATTTCTCTTCAGGATTCCAAGTTAGAGCTTGCCTCATGAAACAGTTTGATGATTTCCTCAATGTGTCCTTTCCACTTCTAACTTCTTTTCCTAATTTCCTCTTCAGCTGAAAGGTGGTTTGTCCTCTCACGCAGTAGGCTGTTGCTGATGGTATCCGGTCAAATGATATTATAATACATAGAAAATTGTTTATTGTAAGAACGGCTCGTTAGTAAACTCTAAGAAGCCTCAAGAAGGCCAGAAAGAGCCGAAGACATTCCATCCAATCACTGCTAGGGGAATATTCTAGAATGTCAACGTGTAGCTTTCCCATTGGATGGATACGAATGACCCCCTATGTGCCTAATGGTTGTCTGAAATGATAATTTACTCTCAGCCAATAACTATAAATACATGAGATTTCTGTACCATATTTTGACACTATTTTGGGGAATAAAAGTTCCTACTTACTAGTCTTCTGTCTTCTCTCTTGCGGCGTTGCGGGTTCTATCGTTCAAGTAGTCTAGTAGTACGCGGCACAGTAAGAACCAAAGCTATAGATATAACATTTATAAATAATTGTACCTTTTTGATAATGGTTGTAGTAGTTCTCCAAGTTTCAGATCTGTACAGTAGAACTATCTGATTCTTTATGGTGTGGTCCGGTGAGATCCACATGACTTTATGTATGCTATTGTGTGGAATATTGTGCCACCTATAACCCATTTGTTGATTGCATTTAGATCTGCAAATCTCTCGCCATTCTCGTCCCTTTCTCCTAGTCCATGTCGTCCTATGATATCTTCATAACCACTGTTTTCGATTCCGACTTTGGCGTTTAGGTCTCCCATTAGGATGATCATGTTCTTTCTTGACCACTTTGATATGATTAATTTGCAGCCTCTCGCAGAGCTGTTCTTTATTGTCGTCATCACTTTCATTGGTGGGTGAATAGCAATCATTGTGATTCCCTCCTACTTTGTTTTCAATGATGCTTTGATGATCCTGGTTCCATGAGATTCTCATCCTATAGGTGCATTTCCTACTTAGTTTGAACAGCATCACAGCAACTATCTGAGTGTGTGGATTATTATATTTTTCTTGGCCAGAATACACCAGCATCTCACCTAAATAAATCCTTTTCTGTCCGGCTTGGGTCAAATAGGTTCCGCTGATTCCGAGTACTGTCAAGTTGTATCTCCTCATTTCCGTTGCTATTTGATTGGTCCTCCCGGTTCCTCACATTATCTGGACGTTCTACGTACCCATAAATATTGTTGCTCTAATTGTTGGAAGGGAAATCGATCTAGTGCTTCTCAAAGAATCTCATCTTTCGTCATGAGGCTTCATAATTTCTTCGTCGACTTGGAGAACAGAGTTTAAGTGGTTTAGACAGTTTATTCCGGTTAGTATTTTTTCAGGAAGGTTGTTTTTTACAGGATGGGGTTGCCAACTACATGCCTAACGCTCCTCCTTTACCTGGACGCGGGACCGGTAGTAGCCCTTGAAGAGCTACAGGCGGAATTACAAAATAATCTTAAGTACAATTAAAAGGAAACATGTACCTAGTAAATTTTGATATTTATTGGGTAAAATATGATAAACGTTCTATTTACCAACAATTTTCAATTCGGTAACGTGTGTTGAATACTAAATATATATATTTCATTAAAATACAAGTGAATATTTTCAAACTGTGATAAACTTGGCACTTAACCTTATCTTGACAGAAAACTGTGAAGTTCACCCGAAAAGACCAAAGTTTATAACTTAAGTATCAGCTTTAATATTTAAATTATAAGGTGAACATTTACCAAATATTGATTGGTAATATGTGACCTCAAAACAATTTCTAACATTCAATAATTCATAAAATTCATTATCACGATTGTATATCATCATTGTATAACATCATCAGGTTATGAATTGTAAAAAACTGTGAAGTAAAAAATAAATACTTCATTTCTGTTTAATAGTCCTCAATAGTGTCCATTCAAAACTTCATATTTGGTCGAGTTCAAAATTTTCATGGTGACTCCAATACCATAGAACAGCTAAGCCGTAATTTAATGTTTCAAATTTTAAATTTACGTAGATTTGTGATGTAGTGTATTCTACATCTAATTTTGCAAGTAAATAATTCCCATCCCCTCAACTTGGCTATTGCCGCAGGCCATTGCTTTAACTCTGGAAACGCTATCCTTAAATGAGTCATCAATCTATCACTAATTAACGTACGATTTTGTTAAGTTAAGCAGTTTTCAAAGAATTAGTCTGAAATATAAATTACCCCCATCAGCAACTGAGACTGTTCGTGGGACTAGTGAAGCATGCTAAATATCTACGTTCATGCTGCATGAAATTTCTTATTAACCACCTAAGCCCAGATTGGAATAAGCCGCTCTAGCTTTCATTGTACGTGCATCAATCTCATCACTCACGCCACCACCAGCACTTATATAGCTACCTAGATACACGAACTTCTCAACTACTTTTATCTGCTCACCACCCGGGGTGAGTACAGGATTAGAACCCTGCCAGTCTTATGGAAGTACTTTGCACTTCGAAGGTGCAAAACACATACCGTATATATGGACACTGATTGTCAACTGATTAAGTGAGGATTGCATAGCATGAACATTATCGCACAGTAAGACAATATCATCCGCATACTCAAGGTCGAAAAGTCTTTCTCTAGGCAACAGATCCACATCACCATTACTTACATCCATCAGAGCTGTTTCCAGAATGTCATCGATGGCAAAGTTGAAGAGGAATGGTGAGATCGGGCAACCCTGCCTAACCCCACTGCTCGAATGGAATAATGGAGAAAGGTGGTTGTATTCCCTCACTCTGTCTGAGTGTTTGTATATAGGGCTTTCAAGATGTTGATAAACTTCTCAGTCACACTCTTCTTCAAACAACAATCTAAGAGAACAGTCCTGTCCAACGAATTGAAGGCGGTTCAGATATCAAGAAACACTACGATTGTTGGCCTGTAATAGGTATGACGGTGTCCTAACATTTGGCGGAGAGTGAAAATATGATCAATGCATCCTCGACCAGAACGAAATACAGCCTGCTTCTTTTAAGTCAATCTTTCTCGGGTTTTGAACAATCTACGAAGTATGACAGAAGCCAATAGTTTGGACGCAATCGGAATTAGACTTATCCTCCGATAGTTGTTACAGAAACCATGTGAACCCTTTCTAAAGGTAGGAAAAACCATCGACTCATTCCATGATATTGGAACACTCTCTAGCTTCCAAACTTTTGCAAACAACGTAATCAGTTACTTAACCAGAAATTCATCACCATCTTTAAAAAGAGTCGAAGGTAGGTCATCTGAACCCGATTATTTGTACCGCTTCGAGTTGGAGTTCCCTGAGGGCTTCCGCCTTATTCGGTGGGTCAGTTGTCACCAGCCATGGAGGGCAGGACATTCTGATCGATGTTGCCAGGGCAGCAGAACAGTTGAACTGTTCCTCGAAAAACTCAGCCAACTGTCTGAGACGTCGGTAGATGTTATTGATTGGCATCCCGTCATCTTCACAGATGGTTTCACTCACATCAGACTTCTCACTGCCTGTGACTCGAATAATTTGAAAGAGCTTCCGTCAGTTAACAGATGCAGCTGCTGCTTCCAACTCATTGGCACGCTCCAACCACCAGGCTTCTCGGTCCTTGCCCAATTTCATTGCATAACAGCCTTCGTTTGTGGTCAAACTCACGGTCACCTGGAGTAGATCGACGGGCTTCGATGAGTTGTAAGGAGCCTGAAGAAATCCAGTGCTTGTAATCGAGACGTTTCGCGAGCCGCTAGTGACTTTACTCGCCATTTTCATGGCGTCATACAATTTCAACCAATGTTCATCCATACTTTTCGGTGGGATGGTAGCTAGCCTAGAACCTAGCTCGGTTTGATACTTATTTGTAACAGAAGCTGCAGTCAATTTACCGACATCAATCCGTTTAGGACGATGAATTCGTTGGCCACTGAAAAGTAAGGTGAAATTGGCGTAAACAAGGGCATGATCAGAGTCCAGATAAGTACTCCAAAAGGAGCGGCAGTCTTGTACACAAACACGCCAGTGGTGGCTGATCGCGATGTGATCAATCTGAGTCCAGGCTTGAGATGCAGAGGGAGGACGCAAGGTGGCACATTGGCGATGACTATGCCGGAAGGTAGTGACGGAACATTTTAAACAAGGAAACAGATTGGCTGATGAAACTTATTATGTTTGATACGTCATTTCTTGTTGTAAGATCACAAGAATGATAATAACCTTAATCGTTGGATAAATATTTAAGTTCAAAAATAGTACCTAATAACGAGTTCTAGTTAGTACATACTTCAGATTCATAGCTTTTCGATAAATACTTTTATCTGACCGCACAAAATGTACTCGAAATATATAAATCAAATTATCCACATCTATTTGTATTAACAAAACATCTTTTATAACTGTTTATGATCAAGAGATCAGGATACCTTGTTCCCATTGCGTTCATAATGTGACAGAATGACTCTGTCATTATTCTAAACTTCCGTTCTCCCATAGAGTTCTTAATATGTACAAAAATTCTAACATTTCTAATCGA